TGTGTGTGTGTGTGTGTGTGTGTGTGTGTGTGTGTGTGTGTGCGTGTGTGTGTGTTGTGTTGTGTTGTGTTGTGTGTGGTGTGCATCAGAATGGTCATGTGTGCGATCTTCACCTGGTGGCAAGCGCGGAAGAGTGAGAGGGGAAGGTGAAGAAATAGAAGGGAGGAGGGGGAGGAGGATCCTGGCGATGAACAAGAGGAGGTAGAGGGGAAGCTTCCTTTCGCAGCAGTGCCTTTATTTCGGGGGTTGGGGTGGGGTGGTTGGTGGTGCTTTTAACTCTGCTTTAAGACCATAATAATAATAACAACAATACTTTTTTCCACGTACACAAATGTTGCATCTCGGAAATGACAGCAATTTGCTCCAGCTTCATGCTCAGTGATGGAAACAAGCGTCGCCCATCTCTGCATGTCCCCACCAAGCCACCAAGGTTACTTCGCCCATGCAGATCTGTTTCAGCATGAGCAGCACAATAAATAGGCATATCATGCACCGGGTAATACTCAATCAGCATGGGAACAGAAAATCTAGCCAGCAACTGACGGCGCCTGACGCAGCTCCGGCTGCACTATGTGTGCAGTTCCTGCAAAAAACTTGCTGACCTACAGAGCAGCAGAGTCGCAATTACTCCTGAGTCCTCAATCTGGAGGGACTGCAACCGCTTGCCTTCTAAATCATCAATACCAGTCCAAAAAAAGCCAGCAGCCACCACAACATAGAGTCTGTGCCTTCTAAGCCATGAATACCAGTCCACACAAGCCAACACCCACCACAACATAGAGGCTGCTCCCATGAAGACGCCACACCACCGCGAGGAGATTGGGGCCACAGCTCCCATGCGCATTACAGGACGACTGACCGCCCCCAGACCAGAAACAGGAACAGAGTCGACCCTCGCTCAATGCTCTTTTCGTCCCCTCGCATCTGACCCTCGCTCGTTACATAGTTTTTATAAATGTTTCACTGCACTTGTTCAAGATGTGGCTCACATTCGCTCACTTAATGTCGATTATCTTGATCACTCCAGCGCCACCAATGCTGTGAAGAGACACAATGCAATCTCCTGGCTTGATAAGCCCTCTCCTCTTTGACCACTGCAGAGCCGTGCTCAGGATCTCGTCAGCTGTATCGGTATCTGTCGCTCTTGCTACGCCCCCTGCAAGCAGGGGAATGAGACCTCTGCAGATCAAGCTGTGACGGGCCGGAGCCTCCTCGCTGACGGACCAAGATACATTGTCTGTGGTGAGAACCGGCACAGCAACAGAGAGAACCGGGACCGACGGCCTGTACTTTGCCACAAGCTTTGCTGTGCTGCCTCCTCTCATCAGCACAACGATCAGTGAAGCCCCAACCTTGTTAGCAGTTCCAGCAGCAGACAATGCCAGACTCTCGAGGGGGCTCATCGGAACGGGAGTCTCCTTGATGATGGCCTTGAAGATTGCATCGTAGTCGAGAGAGGCTTCCGCCTCCCGGCAAATTCGGGACATCACCTTCACCGCCTCCTCGGGATAAGTTCCTGTCGCCGTTTCACGACTCAGCATTACCGCATCGGTTCCATCCAAAACGGCGTTAGCCACGTCGGTGGCTTCTGCGTGAGTAGGACAAGAAGACGTAATCATCGACTCCAACATTTGCGTCGCGGTTATGACCGGCTTTCCAGCAGAGTTGCACTTCATGATCATCATTTTCTGTGCAAGGAAGATCTTCTCGGTGGGTATCTCCATTCCCAGGTCCCCTCTGGCAACCATCACCCCATCCGTCTCCCTCAGAATGTCCTCAAAGTTGACGAGGCCCTCCTCATTCTCTATCTTTGAGATTATCTTTATTGTTCTAGCACGGGGTCCGAGGATCCTTTTGATGTTGATGACATCCTTCCCCTTGCGGACAAAGGATGCCGCAATGAAATCAATCGAATTCGGGACACCCCAACCAAGGATATCCTCCCTGTCCTTTGTGCCGATCGTAGGAAGGTCGACGACGACTCCAGGGAGGTTGACGTTCTTTCTCTCGCCGAGCATTGCGCTGTTTTCACACCTGCATCTTACAGTTCCCTGTATGGGATGGGATTCCAAAACCGTCAAAGCGATCGTGCCGTCCGCACAGAAAAGAGTATTCCCCCGCTTTACGTCCATAGGCAGCCACTTATAGCTCACAGTGATAGTGTCGCCATCACCCTCCAGACTGTCGTCCGTTGAGATAATGACCTCCTCACCTTGTGTGAGCTGAACTGGCTTTCCATCTTTCAGCTTCCCTGTTCTAATTTCGGGACCCTTTGTATCAAGAAGTACAGCACAGAGGATTTCAGTATTAATCATTGCCTGGCGAAGATTGTCCAACGTGCCTTGGTGATATGCATGTGTTCCGTGAGAAAAATTAAAACGAGCAACGTTCATCCCGGCCTTCAGCAGCTTCTCCAGCATGGGCACATCCCTCGACTTCGGTCCCAGCGTGCACACAATCTTTGTCTTAGCAACGGGATGAGGAGCATCCCTGAGAATGCTGTCCACGTCCAACATCGCCATATCTTTGCCCTCTTCTCTCTCTCTCTCTCTCTCTCTCTCTCTCTCTCTCTCTCTCTCTCTCTCTCTCTCTCTCTCTCTCTCTCTCT